CCTCAGCCAGCCCTTTAAAGAAGCAGAGTGCCCCAGTCAACTTTTCCAGGAGTGCAGTCAGTTCTTACTGGAGTGCACTGCCTTTCCTTCACCTCTGTCTAAAGATGAAATAGACAAAAAAAGACCATCTATTTTGGGAATGACCAAAGAGTCATATTTGGTTCTGTGCTGAGCCATAGGTTGCTGACCCTTGCTCTAAGCCTCAGCCAGCCCTTTAAAGAAGCAGAGTGCCCCAGTCAACTTTTCCAGGAGTGCAGTCAGTTCTTACTGGAGTGCACTGCCTTTCCTTCACCTCTGTCTAAAGATGAAATAGACAAAAAAAGACCATCTATTTTGGGAATGACCAAAGAGTCATATTTGGTTCTGTGCTGAGCCATAGGTTGCTGACCCTTGCTCTAAGATAACCAGCCTGACAGCCACTCAAGCACGGTCTCCAATGGGCTTCACCAGTCCTGGCTTTGCCTTACAGCAGGGGTGGGCAATAGTTTTTTGCCAGGCTGCATCGGAAGGGGCATGGCCAGGTTGCTTCAGGCTATGATTGGTCTGGGAGTTGGGGAGCTCCTTTTGCCTCCCCCCCCCCCCTTCCCACTAAGCACCACGTCCCTGGCAGTGGGAGGAAACTTTCCGTGCTCCCTCACCCCCAGGCCAATCGGGGCCTGGTGGCAGGGAAGTACACGAAGCCACCTCCTGCCTTGCTTAGAATCTCCTTCTAAGTGCCATGCGCTCCTCGCAGGGCAGGGGTAGGATGGAGGAAACTTCGTGCACTCCTCCTGTCCCCAGGCCAATTAGGGCTTGGGAGTGGGTGAGCATACAAACTCTCCTCCCGCCCTGCTGGCCTGGGGGCAAGGGAGTGGCACGGCCTCTGTGGGCTGGATCCGGCCTGTGAAGGCCCTTTTGCCTGCCCCGGCTTACAGGCTGATAGTAGGGTGAGAACTGCAGCCTCCCTGTAGAGTTGCCCTCCTGGAGTATCCAGTCCTGACTATCTAGTGTACCACAGTGTTTTTTTCCCCCTCCTTTAGACTACTGCTCCTGTGTTATGAATAGGACTCAAGTTCAATTATAAAACAAAAGAATTTACTTAAAGACTAGAGGTGTTTAATTGACTGAGCCAGTGGCTATTTATAAAACAATCAATGCGCATTCTTGAACCTAAACTTACAAGTTATCCTCCTGCCTTAAGAAGCTTACCTCACTAAAGTTCTTTTGAGCATTTTCAACCAAGATTTCCTGGGAATCTTTTCTCATTAAGGACTTTGCAGTGAGTTTACTTTCTAGGTGTGGGATGCCATATCTGCATATCCATATATGTCAGAAGAGACCTTTTTATATCCACCTGAAAATTGGTTGGATTTGAAAATTAGGGATGTTGAATTTTGATTCATCGGCTAATCAAGTAGTTGATGGAATTTCCGTCAACTAGATGATAAGGGGGGAGGTGCTCTAATCCCTACTCACTGGGTCCCAACTGCTGTGTCTCTGCCTCTCTGTGCTTATCTCCCCTCCCCTACCTCAGCACTGTGGAGACAGTGCTGAGGGGGAACCAGCTTTTAAGCTGGCTCCCCTTGGCTCCTGCTCTCTTCTCCTCCCTCCCCCCCTCCCCCCGTTGCTCTGATATAGAAGCAGCAAGGGTGGGGAAGGGGAGAATGTGAGTAGTTGACTCAACTGCCTGATTAAACCTAGGCTTCTTGGGTAATTGACTGTTCTTTTTATATCCCTGTTGAAAATACTAAAGCTGCGTCTACACTACGAGTCTTTTTGGCAGAAAATATGCTAATGAGGGACGCATTAGCATGAGTTGTGACATCATTAGCATATTTTCTGCCACTTGTTTTTGCACAACAGGCATAAGGACAGAAAATAAGGATAACGATTTGTCCGGGACAGGCATAAGGATCTTGTGCAAAATGGGGTTTTTGCCCAAAAAAAGAAGTCCACGCTGCTTCTTTTTGCACAAAAACCCCTTGCGCAAGAAGAAATAGCAGAAAATATACTAATGGCATCATGACTGATGCCAATGAGACTTTCATTAGCATATTTTCTGTTGAAAAAACTCAGTGTAGACGCAGCCTAACAGTAGAGCAGCTCCATTAGTGCTATCAAGGTATGGAGTGCTACTGACCGGGATTGTTACATGCTTAGAACAAAGATGGCAAATGCTCTGAAGTGCCTGCCTGCAGCCCTTCTTGCTATTATCACCAGTGGAGACATGCTCTTTGGAAAGATGTCTAGTGTGGACAAAGATGCAAACAGGAAATTTCCACGGTTCAGCGCCAAGCCAACACAAGTTGGAAGCCCTGAAAATGGAAAATCTCTTCCTTTTGTATTCCTCATGCCTTCAATTTTTTCTTTTTAAAACAAACCCAAGAAAAACTAGTAAAAAGCTATGTAAGTGCTGTGTTAAGGTTGCATGGTTCAACACTCACACAGCATGGAATGTGTTTGTGAATGCTGCTTTAACTTTGTTTCCCTTATGTATTCCAGCAATATGGTTATCGGTTAATCTTGCTGACCATGCATTTTCCACCCCCTTGCTGCCTCTGTATTAGAGACAGCAAGGGGACAGGGAAGAGTGGTAGCTGGTGCCCATGGAGAGCTGGCTTTAAGCAGGCTCCCATTTCCCTGGAGCATCAGCCTATTCCCACCCCCAACAGAGGCAGTAGTGCAGGGGGGGGGAGCTGGTGCTCGTGGGAACCAGCATGTCATCATGGGGGAAGAGGCACTATGCCAACTGGAGAACGCTCTCCCAGGGGCATAATAACTTCACCTCCATCTCCAATGCAGTGTGGAGTAGATACTGGATCCCACAAAGCAACCTGCCCCACCCCCACTCCTCTGCTGCTGCCTCTGATAGAGAGGCAGCAGTGTGCAGGGTGAGGGGAAGGCGGGAGCCAGTACACATTGTAGTGAAGGGAGAAATGTGGGGGGGGGGGCGGAGGAGGGACATGGGAGGGCTGCTGCAAAGCAACCTCTGTTCTGTAGCGAACCTGGGTCCCAAGTGCGGTACCTCTGTGGACAGGGGCTGCTACCAAGAACACATTGGTTGCCAGTCCTGCCTCCGGGGACAATCGAATAGTTGTGTAACCGCATAATACAGCACATTATAGAAAATATTCTACAATAATTGCAGTCTGTTGTAGTACAGTATACTATACTGCAATAAAGGTCATGAAATAGACCAGGTGAATGAGTAAATATCTTTTATTGGACCAATTTTGTTGGTCAGAGAGAAGCTTTTAAGTTGCACAGAGTTCTTCCTCAGGTCTGGGAAAGGTATTCAAGGTGTCAAAGCTAAAAACAATATCTAACAGTGTTTAGCATAAATAGTTAACATTTTAAGGGACCATTCAAGGTGAAGTTAATGAAAGTACACTATTAACATGTTCAAAAGCTTCAGGGGGTAGCTGAGTTTGTTGTTTAAGTTTTCCTATTACAGGCTAATAGTCTAGTAGCACCTTAAAGACTAACAAAACATGTAGATGGTACCATGAGATACCATCTACATGTTTTGTTAGTCTTTAAGGCGCTACTAGACTATTTATTGTTTTTTAAGTTAGTCTGTAACATGCTTAGACTACATATGTAATACTCAGTAGTAGGGATGTCAATGTGCGCTGCTGCCTCTGATAGAGAGGCAGCAGCGCAGAGGGTGAGCGATGGCAGACGGGAACCAACACGTGTGGAGAGTATCGTGTTAGCTTTGTGGACCTGCCTTCCTATCCCTCCCCCACTGCCTTCTACAGAAGCAGTGGGATGGGGGGCCAGGCAGAAGCTGGTGCCTCCTGCTTCCCTCCCCTCCCCAGCCCATGCTGCTGCTTCTGAGAGGCAGCAGTGTGCCAGGGTGGGACAGGCAGCTTCACAGTAGCCTCCCCTCTGTCCGTGGGGAGCTTGGACACCCCCCAAACCCTGGACAGGGGCTGCTGCCACCCATGCAGGGGGCTCCCTGGGAGTAGGGCTGGAAGCATGCTGGCTGCCCTGGCCTTGCCCCCCAGGGACTATAGAATAGTTGTAAACCGTTACAATTTGAGTAGTTACATGGCTATTCAATTACACCAGGGGTGGTCAGTCCATGGCTCTCAATCTGCATGCGGCTTTTTAATTAAAAAAAATGCAGCTCCTGCTGCTTCTGAGCTGCGCCCCAGCGCCTGCTCACAGCCCGGCTGCTCTGCGCATGGTGCCCCAGCGCCTGGAGGGACAAGTGGGTGGTGGAAGCCATGGCAGCAGCTCTGGGACTCAGGCATTAGGTTAGGGAGGGCTGGGAGTACCTGGCTCTGGGGAAGGGGGGAGGCATTAGGTTGTGGCGGGCTGGGAATGCCTGGCTCTGGGAGAGGGGGAAGGCATTGGGTTAGAGCAGGGGGGCTCTGGAGGAGTGGAGGGGGATTGGGTTAGAATGGGGGTATGGGAGTGCCTGGCTCTGGGGGAGAGGAAAGGTATATTTTGTTATGTATTTATTTATTTATTTATTCCCAAATTACATATTGTTTGCCAGGCTGAAGCAGTTTATTCTGAGATCTGAGTCTCTCCCTTATTGTTTTTGAACCTCTCGTATTTGCAGTCTGGGACAGGCACTTCAAATTGGGCTAATTTACTTCTCAGTTCAATTTAATTTTAAAATGCTCACAGGAAATAACAGGGCAGTAGTGTTAAATTTAAAATACATGTTGGGGGTGCCTTTTTTTAGTGTGAGACTATTACGTGTGTGTGTGTGTGTGTGTGTGTGTGTGTGTGTGTATTTGTTGGTTCTCTGAAGATCTGTGGACTGGCCATGAATTTTTTAAGTGACTAGACACTTTTTTTTGTATTGTTTTTTTATCTGAAATGTCCTGCAATGTTATTTTTATCACTACATTTTGTGTACTATATCTTTCTGTATATAGATATATAAAAATAAATACATAATACATGGCTCTTCGCGCTCTATCCACCGCTATTTTGGCTCTTTGTCTCTAACTGGTTGGCCACCCCTGAATTACATGCTATGTAACATCCCTACTCAGCAGTGATAGTACTAGCTGGCAGAGAGGGGTTTACAATTAAAATAACTGTTAATACCTCTGTTCATATTAGCTGTGCCTTGGTAATAAATGTTGTTGTAAATACCCTAATGCTAATTCTTTTAATTGGATATAGAAAAACATATTTATTTAGGAAAAATCTCAATTTTCAGTTTGTACTTTTTCCATTTAGGTGAGTGAGAGAGAGGGTTTCCACTTAAGAATTTACTTTTTAAAAGTCAAATAAGAATATATAATACTTGGATCAACTACCTTTGACTAGGTTATCACCACAATATCTGAGTATTTGCTGCATGTAAATGTAACAAGTTCTAAAGTCACTTAAATGTTTTTGAAAAATCTTGCTGTAATCAAACACTATAAAGTTAATACAACTCTAAAATGTATTAAGAAACAAACAGCTAGCAATAAACTACAACAACAAATTAGTGTTCAAAGGGATAACTGTCTCTGATTTGGAGGGGGAGGAGGGAGAACTGGCCTACTAGATGTAGTGCATGGGTGGTGATAAAAATTATGGAAACACAAACCTTACAGAGAGACAAATGTGTATTAAAAATTATACGTTGGCACTGAAAACTGTGTAAATGTACAGACTGGTACTCTATTACTTCACTGTCATGCAGTTCTCCTACTGTCGTAAAGACAAAAAACCCCATTGTAATATGTGCAGTAGGTACCAAATGTAGCTTCACATAATAAATTGCAGTGCCTCTCAAAGTATTGGATCCATATGACTTTGGTGTATAAAATTGGGCTATATCTCTATGCCTATATTTGGGAAGAATTCTGAGTACCAGAGGAGAGGTGGGGGGAGCTCTAGTACAGTACTTACACAAAGTTTTGCACATACAGAACTGGTATTGCTACTGCCCTGGATTTTAGTTTTGAGCTTGACTTGTAGGCCATGATTCTACCTCTGTGAAGCTCATTGTGGGATATTTCATATGTACCAGTGTTTAGAGCAGAGGCATGTGGATGAATGCATAGCTAATTTAGGGCTTGTCTACATGGCCAGAGTTGAGTCTACAGGGGAGTGAACTGCAGCTTACACTAGTAGGCTGTCCTGTAATTCTCCAGCGTATGAACTAAAAGGTACTTACTTGAAGTTAATTTAGTCCTGTTTGAAAGAGGACTATGTACCTTTTAAGCTTGCACCAATAGTGCCCACATGAGGGAAGTAGAGAGCAGTGTATCAGTGTGTTCAGTTCACACCACTGTAGTCTAAATTGTGGGAGTGTCACTCTCGATGTAGTCATAGCAGCATAACAAGTATATGTTTCTTTTATGGTTTACAGCAAATGAGTCATGGCCCAGTAAGAGTCCCTTTTTAATTTTGTTTTATGTTCAATAGATGTCAGCTTCATTGTGCTTCCATAAACTGCTCATGCAAAATGGAACTACTTGTGCGTTTCTATCACACTGCCCTTTGTAAAGCACTTTAAGATCTATGGATGGAAAGAGTTAAAAGTATTGCTGACTCCACTTTACAAGTGTGAAAACTGAGAGAGGTTGAAGGATTTCTCTTGATGGCACTAAATAGTAATGCCAGTCACTGACCCAAAGGATTTGGATTTCATTCCTTGGTCAAGCTATGACTTGGTATTTGTTCTGTCCTGTTTTGTTCTTAAGGGATGTTAATAGTGAATAATGTACTTTAACGATCCAGATGTGGCTGAGAGGTAATGTTGATGGTGTTTTGACTTCATTACGTGTTGGGAGAAAGCAGCATTCCTTAGAAACTGTCAGAACATAGTTCCCTAGCCACTGAGATTTTTAAAACTTCACTGCTGTGAGATGCTATCTGCACCTACACCTGGGTATCTAGAGCACATGTATTATTACACAGTTATTAAATATCATTTCTCAAATGTAGTCTAATACTGCACTTATTTCTTCAACTTTAATTATTAATATATACTAATTAAATTAGTATATATTATATTAGTGTAGTGTAGTGTGTGTGTATATGAATATGTATATATAAAAACACACTTAATGTAACTTTTTTTATGTGGAATTTTCTGCATTTCATGCTAGGGATGTAATAGTGTAGTCCAGTGTTTCCCAATTTTATTTGGCCATGGAACCCTTTTCAGCTTAATTGAATTTAAAGCTTAAAAGAATTTCCAGGAATCCCTAGGGTTGCCGGGGTAAGATTTGTCAAGCACAAAAAAAAACCCCACTAGAATTGGTCGAGCAAAAAAACCCGCAAAATAGACTATTTAAGAGGGGGTGGGGGAGTGCTGCATTCTCGCAGAACCCTTACTTTCGCTTCGCGGAACCCTGAGGTTCCATGGAGCACCAATTGGGAAACACTGGTGTAGTTGATTAACCTATAAGCTTTTTTGCTTATTGGTTAATGCCATAGATTACACACATTTCTTCCCTCCTCTTTCCACTCCTCCCCAGTAATTTTTTTATCAGGCTGGCCGGCAGCCTGGCTTGACATGGGTCCAGGACCTAGCCCTGTTGCGGCTCTGAATTTGAAGTGTGTTAAGAGCTGGGCAGGAAGGCAGTATGGCTCAGTCGCAACTTGTGCTGAGTCCAGGAGCTCAGACCTCCCATGGACGGGGGCTGCTGCCACCCTATACTGCTGCCTCTGATACAGCGTGGGGCGGCAGGCAGCCAATCCACGAGGGGACCTGATTTTTTTTAAATTGGCTCCACTCATGGACCAGCTCCCATCTGGCACCCCACGTGGAGTAGCAGGGAGCTCCTCGGGAGTGGGGTCAGAGCACACTGGCTGCTGGCCCCACTCCTGGGTACTATAGAATAGTCGAGTATAACCAATAAGAATTCAGGAGTTTAATCAACTATTCAGTTAACTGATATTTTGCATTCTTATTTCATGCATCTCACCAGTTTATATCCTCTGCCTTCCTTCCCAAAGGATCAGCTTTCTCTCCCTCTCCCTCTCCCTCTCCCTCTCCCTCTCCCTCTCCCTGGTATTTCAAATTTAAAAGAATTTTTGGTATAAGAATAAAGATCTGTTGAAGTCATTTCAAAGCCTTAATTTTTTACCAACATCCACATTTTTTCCCCCTCCTCAGGCACCATCATGGGCGTATCTTGCTTGTGCATGTGGCCTTTTCATTTACCAGTCTTTGGACGCTATAGATGGAAAACAAGCAAGAAGAACCAATAGCAGTACTCCTTTGGGAGAACTTTTTGACCATGGTTGTGATTCACTGTCCACAGGTATTGTCCTTTGTAACCAGAAGATAATGGTTAAATACAATCAGTTTAATATTTTGGAGGTTTTCCTAATAATAAACTAAAATATAGAAAGAAAATAGCATGTATGACAAAAGGGTTGAAGGGATGAGCAATTTTATGCTATTGTTATATTGCCAAATGAATCTCCTTTTTTTTTTTTTTTTTTTTTTTTTTCAATAAAGAAGGACTTAATTCTGACTAGTTTGGCATTGACATCTAGTGGATTTAGGCCCTTATTCACCAGGATATTTAAGAATCTGAAAAGCATGTGAAAAGCTCTGCTGGCATCATGAGGTCTACATATGTGCCTTGCTAAACTTGAGCTTAATTTAGTAACTTGACCTCATTTTAACTTAGAATACAAACAATTCTTCTAATTTAATTTTTAGATATACTTTATTAAAACAGTTTTAGTCAGACTTTGACCCTAAACTGTGACATGGGGAGTCCAAATCGAGCGCTGACTCGGTTCTTTAGAATTCTGTGGAGTTGAATCCTCTTTAACCCCGTGTTTCTAATAAATTCATATTCTTTTTTTATTGGATACTTAGCTCTCAGATTAGAAGGCTCTAACATTAAATTTTGACGGATGATCACTGTTTCGTGACTTTAGATGCAGGGTTGATTGGGTTTTTTTATGTGGGAGGGGTGGCTTGTGGGTGGTGGTGGTGGTGGTGTGTGTGTGTGTGTGTGTGTGTGTGTGTGTGTTGTTTGTTTTGGGTTTTTTTGTTTTTGTTTTTTGTGATTCTCATATAAGAGAACCTGGAATTTCTTTGAATGAAAGATAGTGAAAGAACCATGAACTGGAACAAAAGTAAACAAAAACAAGGAAATTCCAACTTGAATCTGATCCCATAAGTTGCTGAGAAACTCTTATAAAGTTCTGTACCCCCTCGCAGATCCTATTGACTTCAGTAGGAATGGATATCCTCTGCAACTCTTAGCTGCTGCTGCTATGCAGTTTTGTCGTAATGCAGTATTTCAGGATTAAGATTATGCGGAGATACTAGTTCACAGTAAGGTATAATCAGCATCTCTGCAGTCATCCACTGAAGTGTTGATCACTGTCAATGAACAGCAATAATAAAGCATTGAAACATCTGCATTTCTTGAACTGAGGTTTTTTGTTTGTAATCTATAATCTTTGTAAAAGTCTTCAAGATCTACAGATGGAGAATGTGCAAAGTTACTAGCGCTATTTTACAGGTGTGAAAACTGAGACACAGATAGGTTGAAGGATTTCCCTTGATGACACTAATAGTGAATTAATCCACTGAATCAAAAGATATGGATTTGATTCCTTGGTCCAGCCAAGACTTGGTACCACTATTTTCATTTTGTAAAATTGGGATTTTAAAACTGTAGCGATTAATCAGACTATGCCACTCTCCCTGGGTCCTTTGCTAGAATTCTGTCTCCTGTATGGATCTGTAAAGATTCTTTCTACATGCATGTTTATTTTTGTCTGATTTCTTCTGCAGTCTTTGTAGTTTTGGGAACTTGTATTGCTGTGCAGCTGGGGACAAATCCTGACTGGATGTTCTTTTGTTGTTTTGCTGGGACATTCATGTTTTATTGTGCACACTGGCAGACCTACGTCTCTGGAACATTGCGCTTTGGAATGTAAGTAACTCAGTTGAAAGTGAAACTGTAGATGATGAAGTCAGTTTTCTGTTTAATGTATGTCCTGTACTAAGTTTGTTAGATTAGTAAAATTGTGTATGTATGGCGATGTGTACACACACACATTTGCAATACTATATATTGATGCTACTGCACACAAAACACTAAATTTGGGTCTTTTGTAATCAGGAAAAGAAAAACTTTTGCTCTTATATATATATAATTGCTAACAGCTGCTGATATGAAATAAACAAATAAGTAGATGGCATCATGATTTTAGTTATGCATTCATCACTGTGTGTCGGGAAAAATCGACCATGGCGTTTGCACAGCAATTAATGTTTCTTTTGCAAGATATGCATGTTTAGTCCCTGAGCATTGAGCTAAAATATTAAAACTTCCTTAACCCTTAATAATGACATTTTGATGTGGAAAATTAATATAAATTGACATTTTGCCTGTCAAGGGCAAAATTACTATTGAATTAGGGGTCGGGGTGGGGTGGAGGTGGCAGCATTTCATTTAAAAGACTAGACTATTAGGTTCTGAGGCAAGATCAAGTCTCTAATCAGTTATTGGTAATATCTACATATGTATAAAGTTCATCTATGAAGTATTTTTTCAAATGAGGTTAAGCAACATATTGATGAAGAATCATGATTTTTGAATTCTTCTAGAAAACATTGATATTCTAGCCATTTTTGGTGTTTTCCAGTTTTATGATATATATACTAGTTACACACATTATTCATTAAATGGTCAGTCAACAGGTTTCTGGGCATTCCAAATTTTTAATTAAACTAAAATAATAAATACCTTTTGGCTAAAATAGCCCCTTAAGGAGAAATTTTAATTTTCCTTGGTTTTTATCCGATGTCATATTGGTTATCTGAAGTCAGTGAGCTCTGAGGGCAGTTGGCACCCTACAGAGACCATACCAAAGAGCCTGATTTTTATAAAGGCCTAAACATGTGCTTACATATTGTAAACACAGTTTGAGATGCAGAGGTAAATTATCTAATTTCCAGGTTCAATGAGAAGTAGCCATGTAAACATTCTCACTTCCATGTACTATTAATTCTAAAGTCTGCTTCACAGGGATCAGTGTACCAAAATTTCTCTTATTTTACAGATGCCATGTTTCAAAATCTAATTCTACGGGAACTTCACTACTAACTTTTCATTTTATCAGTGTGTTCAGATAATATTTACAAATAATACATAAATCTGAAAGCTCATAATACAAAAAGCTCATAATATATAGTCATATGACATTTTTGTTCAATGCTTAATATTACAAGCATCAGATCAGCATTTGTATATTGAGCTCATACTTTAAACCAGTCCCAGTGTTGTAAGTTTAATTGGCTATCACAAACTCTTATTAACTTTCACCACAGAAATCTGAGAATGAATATTAGGAAAGATGACAATAAACCGTGTTGAATATTAGCTTGTCTCTAAAACTTTCTCTTTACCAATCTTTGCACTATAGGACTTACTTTGTCTACCTCTGAGGTCTGTGACTTATAGCTATAGATACCTATACATTCCAAAAAGATGTTGGTAGCGCTCGTTGGCTGCTTCCTCTTGGATGACTTGGCACTTCTATGCGTAACAAAGGCTATTTTTAGTAGAGAATGATTTTGTTATCGAACATGCTGACAGCCATCTAAGTGGCTATTTTGGACTGACTTAGAATCTAAAAAGTTGAATATGAAATTATTGTTTAAATTGTGCATGTTTGTTAAATTACAAAATTAATACACAAAGGGAAATGGCAATACAACTGGCCCTGTGGAGCACATTCACTAGAAATCTGATTTGATATTATTCAAATACAGACCCCATTTTCAAGGGTTATTTAAATTGAAAATGGGCTGCTCAGTTGTAAATGAAAGGTAATAGTAAATAGTAGTGTGAGCTGGGGAAGGTAGGCTACAAAATACCCCAGTGATCTGTTACATCTATTCTAACATCTTAATGCTATGAAAGAGTAAGTAAATGGAAGTACAAGTCTCCACATTTTATTGTCAGTTAGTGAAGTAAAGATATAAACAAGGCAGGAAATAGAGATTCAGTCCAGAAGAATGCATCTATATATGTCTGAGAGCATGTAATCCCCCAGGGAATATGTAGGAAGGACATTGGAAAGTCATGTTGCTTAAGAGATTTGTGGATGATAATAAATTAGAAATTGCCTCTCAGTGCTGTGATAGACTGTATACAGTTGCAGCATCAGAAAGCAAGGACTTGATGGGCACTTTCTGTGTGTGGCTTTGATGAGACTTCATCCATATTTCTATCAGTTCTGGACTTCACAAAAGCAGAAGTTATTTTCTCTGGAGTCTGGACCTTAACTGAGAAATTTGAACCCTGACAAAAATAGACTATCCCTGGTATAGATCACTTGATCTGCTGGTCTTTTCTGCTTTACCTGTATTACCACTGTAAACCATGAGATGGGTTTAGTGAATGCATATTTTTAAAAAGCATTTGGCTGCTTTCAACATCAGAGCTTATTGGTCATGAAAGAGTAACAAAAAAGGAGTTAAGACTTTGTACTAGAGGGGCAATTGGCATTAAGATCAGAAAACATAGTGTATGCATAGGGGGAAATGCTACAAGTTGAAAATACGATAAGAGGGGAGTACCCTTCGGACCATCTTTATGATCGGAGTTCATTTTTGAAGGAGAAATGGCAGCAGCCTCTATAGTTAGGTTTTATAATACTTTACATTGTAAAGTGTTATAAATACTATTCTGACCACTTCTTGAATCCTAACTTCATGGTTTGCAGAAAGAAACTTAAAATTTGGCAGCGGATTCTCCTGAGGGCAAGAAAGTGCCTTTCGCTGTCACAAGGAATATCTCTTCAAGCTGGTCTGAGTTAAATTCTCAACAATTGCTACTTCACATCTGTTGTCTTCAGTAGAGCTTCTTAGAACCCTGACAGATCTTAGCAGCCCATCTCTATCAGTCTTGTGACTGCATCTTTCTGAAGCAGCCACACACAGTTGAACTTCCTAACATGGCACAGGTAAAAAGGATGATGATTGTTGTTTTTCTCCTGCTGCTACTTTCCATCTCCGTGATAGGGTATGTCTACACTACCACCCTAGTTCGAACTAGGGTGGTAATGTAGGCATACCGCACTTGCAAATGAAGCCCGGGATTTGAATTTCCCGGGCTTCATTTGCATAAGCCGGCCGGCGTCATTTTTAAATGCCGGCTTGTTCGAACCCCGTGCCGTGCGGCTACACGCGGCACGGGCTAGATAGTGCGGAATGGCTTGCTAGTTCGAACTATCTAGCCCGTGCCGCGTGTAGCCGCACGGCACGGGGTTCGAACAAGCCGGCATTTAAAAATGACGCTGGCCGGCTTATGCAAATGAAGCCCGGGAAATTCAAATCCCGGGCTTCATTTGCAAGTGCGGTATGCCTACGTTACCCCGCTAATTCGAACTAGCGAGGTAGTGTAGACATACCCATACTTAGCAAAGTGTACTGATCTGGGTGCTGAGAGACCATGAGATCAAATCTCACATCTTGTGGTAACAGAGATGATTTCTGTGCTTTTTCACAACCTTTATTAAGCAAGTCCTCATAGGCAATATGACCTGTGAGTTGAAATTAAAAATCTCATGTGACATAGTTTTAGCTACAGTGCCTCTCAGAAATAAAGTTCTAAATCTAAAGTACTCGGCTATGTTGTCTCTAAAGTGTGTGTGCTCACATGCACGAAACTAGGAATACATGGAAATTTGGGCAGAAATGCTTCATTTAAGGAGGAATTAAAATATACATGAAGTATCTGGGGAAGAAGGAGAAAGCTTAGGACTGGATTCTCTGTAGCAGCCAACATCCTCTTAGAGCAGACTTTGTTCTAACTGTGATATGCTCTGCAGTCTCTGAAGAACTGTCTGAGAACAGCAAATTCAGTTGCACAGTAGACTTGTCCGGATATGAAGGCTGGCTTATGAAATCTCAAGCAAAACAGGATACTCATATTGAAGTTGCACCTTTGTGCTTTCCCTTAGAATCATAGAGCTGGAAGAGACCTCAGGAGGTCATCAAGTCCAGCCCCCTGCCCAAGGCAGGACCAATCCCAACTAAATCAACCCAGTCGGGGCTTTGTTGAGTCTTATTCCTCTTGTTGTATAAGTAGGGCCCTATCAAATTAATGGTCCATTTTCATCAGTGTCACAGTCATAGGATTTTAAAAATCATAAATGTCATAGTTTCAGCTACTTAAATCTGAAACTTCAAGATGTTGTAATTGTAAGGGTCCTGACCCAAAAAGGAATTGTGGAGGAAGAGTGGTCATAAGATTATTGTAAGAGGTTGTGGTGTTGCTACCTTACTTCTGTGCTGCTGCTGGTGGCTTTGCTGTTAGAGCTGGCTGGCTAGAGAGTGACTGCTGCTGGCTGGGAGCCCAACTCTGATGGCCAAGCTTCCACCAACAGCGCAGAAGTAAGGGTAGCATGGTATAGTACTGGCAACTTAACTTATGCGCTGCTTTCTTCAGAGCTAGGCCCATGGTCAGCACCCACCATAGTCTGGCTCCCAGCTCTGAAGGCAAGCACTCTGCCAACAGCAGCACAGAAATAAGGATTGCAACCCCCTTGCTACTCCCTTTGAGTTAGGACCCCCCAGTTTAAGAAACGCTTGTCTCTGTGAAATCTGTATAGTTAGGTTAAAAGTGCACACAAGACCATACTCTATAGTCTGACATGTTTTTCATGGTCATGAATGTGTTAAGGCCCTATGTATGAAGTTGTCTTCAACTGGTGTAAGACCTAAGATTGTAGAGTATACTAAACTGAACAAAGATGTTCTGGTAAGCGAAGTCGAATTGAAGTTTCTTCAGTTTCTATCTACTGGCAAGGAACTGGAGGAAGGCAAGGTAAGCCCTACCAACTTCAGATTGGTACAGAGATCCGTAAGAGCAGAGTTCTTGGAACTATTTCATGCCAATATTGAAATTCTTCTGTGCACCCT